GTAGGTTTTAGAGTTTAGGTAATAGTAAAGTGACAAAATCTGGAACATTTAGTGGTATATTCCAGGCATTGTTGAACCTACGAGAGTCATCAGTCTATGTTTAGCTTGTTTACATTCAATACAATATATTGTACATAGCAAACTAATTTATTGGTCCACACAAAATCAAGCCCCAATTTAGGCTTTCTCAAGCGACAAAAAAGTGTCTTCAAAACAGGAACCCCACGTGTCCTAGTCTTATTGCGAATTCCATCTAGGCCAATAAGCGCCATCCAAGCCATTCTAAGAGCTGCTATAGGTCACATTTTTATCGCAATAAAAAATCTTTATGAAATTTTTCGATGCTTAGCCTGCTAATCAGCTCATCTAAGAAAATTACCAGAAAAAAGAGCATGGATCAACTTGTAATCTGTCTTTTAGAGATCGGAGGATGCGATAGGTTTGAGGAATTCCTCAAGTGTTATACAAAGTTTATTGGTCAAGTTTTAATTAATCATGAATTAAAGGGTTGCTAAGTACCGATAAAAAAATGCTATCACCCCTGATAGGAAAAATTGAGAAGTACAAAAATATGTAAAGAGACTTTACTGATTAAACGGATGTTGGAAAAATAATTAAGTGTGCCTTTGGGTAATTTAGAAATGGAATGCCTCAGTCACAAATATATATCGATTACTTAGTTACTTATTCACACATTCATAATATTCTATCCTATCTCATTAATTAATATTATATGAGTTTTGTATTCATTAAGTTTACATTTTTAATGTTCTACTTATAAGTAGTTTATTTAAAAATGGATAGCTCTTCTTATCGATGCTTAGATCTTAGTTCGTAAAAATGATATATATTTAAAATCTAAATGAGGCGCAGCGTCAGTGCCTTATATGGCAGCATCTTCGTCGCAATCCTTAGTTTTATCCTAATCCGGAATATTAAGCATATGCATTGTCTCTCTGCAAAGAATGAGAAAACCTATCCTCGTGGTCTTGTAATGTGATGCTGACGCAGTCATTAAAATTTAATAGTCTTTTGGCGTAGTAATGATTTCAAATGGCATAATTTTTACTCAAAAAATAAATTCAAATTTCATCGAGGCCTTATTATAACTCGTTTGTACAGAACTATTACCTTACTTGCAAGCCAAACGTCTACATTCCTCACATTATATTCCTGATTGTGCTGTACAAAAATGCCTAAATCTCATGTTGGACGCGCTTTCGAGTCTTCTCATGCAATTAGTTTTGCTAAGCAAAAGCAATTAAACAAATTAATAGTAAAAATGTCAAGTTTCATGGACAACTGAAGATATTTTTATTTAGAATTATAATGTTTACGGAAAAAAATGTTGGACATTTTACAATGTTAAAACAGGGCGTCAGCTTTAATAGCCAAAATATTGTATAAGGCCGTTCCTCGCATATTCAGAAGTGGATTATATGAAACAAACCTGGAGCAGCGGAGATATTAGCCTCCTAAATATCTTCAAGGGTGGGCTTCTTTGTTCTTAATCTGAATTTCCGGCATTTGGCACTTGATTCCCCATACATCAATGTAGTCAGCTGGCGGAGGGATGGGTTTTGCGCACAATTCATTCCTGATCAAATAACTGCGGTTCTGATTACGCGCGATATCGCTCGACGTTCTGGCCATGCTGGGAATCACAGGTTCATATGGGGGGTAGCGAATTTCTCCTTGTTTACGCAACACTTCAGGGGAAAAATAGGCCATGGCGATGCGTATGACAAAAGGAGGCTTCGAAAATGCAAAGAAGAAATAAAAAAGTGTGACCTGAGCAACTTAATGTGATGGCAGTAAGGCGTACGCTTCAGCTTGAACTTTGAAGGAAGGATCGATTTCAAAGAAGAATTTTTCGGCCGAACTGAAGTCATATGCCTCAGCTGCAGGATATAGGATTAAAAAATTTAGCTACTACTTATAGAACTACTTGAAGACTCATGCTAAAAAAGGTAGAAGTTGTTTTACCTTGTTTTAGAAACTTGGTCATATTGGTAGGAAGACTTAGAGGAATACACCTTGCCCGGAGTCCATTGTATGAATGATCATTTCCAGAGTCGAACTGTGGACTTGGTACATTCCCAGACGTTTCGTCGACATCGTCAGTGAGCCTTGTCATTCTTAACATCATGCCACAACTCGTCAAAAGAGACAAGTCAAGTCAATCCTTTGGCAAATTGTCTGCTAAAGAGTTGTGGTATCTCTCTTTCTATCCTGGGCTATTCACTTATCATATATCCTTGTATCACCCCTTCAATATCACAACTTATTACTTGTTTATCTAAACCTATTTGCAATCTATTAACACTGACTGCTGGTGTACACATCTCTCCAACGTTGCCGGGAATGTTGATCCAAAGCTGTGGTTTAATCCTCAATCCTCTCTCTTTGGGTCCTATCAGGGTCCCCTCTTGCTCCGTAGGATCCTTCCATTAACTGCCTGTTTCAGTGATTTCACTCCATCACTGCCACCGTATCCGTGCTACTCAAGACGGTATGTTCTACACTCTGCCTCAAGCCTTTGCTAGTACGTATTCACCAGCCTCACTGAGCAAATCTCTGAAGTTTGGATCCTCAATTGGCATGGCAACCTAACTTGACGCTGCAGATTCTCTTATCATTGTGCGGCATGTGCACTGAGTAAATCTCGTGGGCAAGCACTTACTTGATGGACCACGTATATGAGCAAACTTTTCTACTATTATTTCGTATTTGATTAGAGCTTCCAGACTACCAGTAAATGAGTAATATGAGATGTATTGACCCTATTTCGTTTAAGGTGATGAAGGACTTGTAGTAGAATTTTCCCACAATGGTATGAGTAGAGCTAGCGTTTTCAATGAATTTCACCTGCCTTGCTTTCCAAAAGTTGTTCACATCCAGGGTGTTCTCATATCATTATGGGAAAATTCTACTTCCCGTCCTACATCACCTTAAACGAAATAGGGTGAATACATCTCATTACACTGAGTCACTGGCAGTCTCAAAACTCTAATCAAATACGAAAAGTAAGTAATGGAATCGATTGTTATATTAAATATACGTTTGCTTCATCGACAATCCCACCAAAGAATATGATATGACAAAATGCCTGGCCCTCTTTGAAAGTCACATCTGCCTTGTGACTAAAAGGGCACTCGTGGCAATGTGGTCGAGTGGCTAACGTGTTAAGCTCACATTCTGCACTGCCACGATTCGACTCCTGCTGGGGGTGTTGATAAGACCGATGCGAGGTCTAAACTGAAGTCCACAATGAGCGACAACAACTTTTGGGAAAGCAAGGCTATGTGAAATTCAATGGAAGCGTCAGCTCAAATCATATCAATGTGGGAAAATTCTACTACTAGTCCTTCAATACCTTACACGAAATAAGGTGAACACACATTTCATATGCTGTCGGTGGTCTTGCGTCGTTTTTTATTAACGAATTCATCATCCATCTGTCGATTTCTCCGTTATTATGAATCTCTTTTAACATTTCCTTCAGTATTCTGTTGTTGGATCCTTTCTCACTGTTTGATAAATGTACCGATCGCCTAGGATACTTTCCATTTTCTCCGTATACTGTTGCCTGTCCATTACCACTGTCACACATCCCTCATCCGCCTGAAGAACTATATTGTAATCAATCAAAAAGATAAGGAACTGATCTACGAGACAATGAAAGGATCTGGATTGGAGGCCCGAGTGGGATAAACCCATTGAAAGAGAGGGGTCGGGGTATGAGGCTACACTTGGTTTGTCACAAAAGGACACACATTTTGATGATTGGAATGTAAACAAGTGAGAAGTTGTGATAGGGCGGCAGTGGGATAAGAGGGTAAAGAGTAAATAGATAGACAATGACAGAAAGAGGAGTGATATTGTAACCGTTTCCGGCAGAACGGTTGTCGAGGTGTTGACTTCACTTGTCCCTTTGACGAGTTCCTAGTTCGGTGCGGAGAATGACAGAACTCACTGATGATGTCGACTATGATGCTGGCGAAACGTTTGAGAATGTGTCAACTCCACTGTCTGATGCTGGAAATCATGGCAACTACTATGGCAGACGACTTTGGACTAGGTCCGTTCTACATAGTCTCCCTGACCACAAGACCAAGTTGCAACAACAAGGTCAACCCACTTCTATAAATCGAAAGAAGACTGCGACCCTACCAGAGGCCACGACATCTTGGTCTTCATATATTGTAATTCATTTGTAATTTTCTAAGTATCTTCATCAATCCACTCCTTTTAAATGGCTCTGCTTGTAACATAATTCTAGGGATAAATTCAATTTCTATCACTCGTTTGGTTTCCTGGGAATTTCTCCGAGATGATGATAGTTTCTAAATGAATATCTTCTGAAATCTTTTCTTCGTCACCGAGTGAAAAATTTAACTCTTTCTTCAGGATATCCACCATTTCGGAATCAAGATCGATTAAGGATAGCTTTACTACCTTATCCCCACCGTCGGTTGTAGCAGTTTGTGCCTTCAATACCGAACCATCAAAATTTTCCCGGGTTGGCTCGGTCTTGCTCTGTCTTATTATCCCATAACTAAGCAATTTCTTGCCATGCCGCTTATTTATCAAATCACGAAACCTCTGTGACTTTTGGGCAGTCATACGCTGGAGTTTTTGAAAATAATCTGGAGAGAAAACCTTGCCTAGATTCTTCCTTAATCCAGACTTAATATCTGTGAACTCAATTGGCTTACACCTCTTAGTCTCGTAACTTTCTTTTAATTTTTGGATGGAGGCGTGATAAAGTATTTCAGTAACTGTGTCCAAATCGCACTTCCTCATTAGGTTGCAAAATCCGGGAGCGATAACATAATGTTTGCAACAATTCAAAAATGCAAAATGACAGGATTAACTTACATACATGTCTACTTTGTCCGACTGTAATTGGAGCATTGTTTGACAATCTTACTTTCATAGGTTAATCAATCATATGAAGACCAGGATGGTGTGACCTTTTGTATGGTTGCGGTCTCCTTTCGTTGTATAAAGTTTGCTTGACTTTATTTTCGTAAATTGGTTATATTGGCAGGCAGACATTGAGGTAAGCATCTTGTCGAGAGTAAATAGTATGCATGATAATTTCCAGTCGAACGGTGGACGTGGTACATTCCAAAACGTTTTGTCGGCATCGTAGTCGGTATTGTCAGTGAGCCATGCCATTCCTAAAGCAAAACTACATGTAGAACAATCCGATGTGGAGGTCGACACGCAAGAGAAAATCATAGCCTTGACATTAGGGATAGAAGAGTGAGAGAAACGGTAGTGGCCATTTCTAATTTGCTATTAGCAGATAATATGAAATGTATTCACCCTATTTCGTTCAAGGTGATGAAGGACTGGTAGTAGAAGTTTCATACAATGATATGAGTAGAGCTGACGTTTCCATTGAATTTCACATTGCCTTGTTTTCCAAAAAGTTGTTCTCACCCAGGGTGGATTGCAGTTTCGACCTCGCATCGGTCTTATCAACACCTCCAGGGGGAGTCGAACCTTAGCGGTGCAGAATGTGAGTTTGAAATTTTAACCACCCGGTCACATTGCCAAGAGTCCCTTAGGTCACAGGGAAAATCTCAATTTCAAGGAAGGCCAGGCCTTTTCCCATATCACATTCTACGGACAACCGAAGATACACAGGGAAGGAAAACCATTAGGGTTAAGAGTCAACGACAAGTATGGAGCAACAGAAAAACTAGCGAAATTGATATGCTTGAAACTTAAGAAAGTAAACCACAGACTCTTGAACGCGGTGAAGAATTTATATGAATTTTCTTAAATTATCCAAAATATTGAACTGGCAGGAACAAAAATGTTGGTAAGTTTTAACGTGCAATCCATGCACACAAACATCTCAGGCGAGAAGGCAGTCATCGCCCTGCTTGAGGTCTTGGAACGAGAAGAGGATATGCTGAAGGCAGATCTGGTATAGAAAGAGATGTTAACACGACTAATAAACCTGGCAGTAAGTACCACATATTTTACATTCAACAGCAATAGCTATGAGCAAATTTGGATGAGTTCCTCCAAACAAACCTGATGCAAAAATTAAATTCACAATGGAAGTTGAGGAGGATAAACTACTACCCTTCCTGGATGTTGAGGCAATTCGTTCCAATGAAATACTCAAAAGGAGACTATTCAGAAAGAAATAATATATGGGAATAATTATCAATATCCAGTCTTATCACAACTACAGGCTGAAGCTAGGAATAATGAGGAGTATGATCATCAGAAGCTTTAGACTAAAAGACGCTGAGTTCTGGAACGAGCAGTTGGATAAACTGACTCGGATTTGCCTTAGAAACGGGTACCCCAGAGAATTTATAGAAAGAAATAAGGTGTCATAAAAAGCAGATTTCAACTAGGATTTTATGAAAATAAGATCAGTAAACGGAAGGACGATAAAATGTGGATATGCCTGCATTGCTGTGAACTGAGTCAGAAAATGCGACACTTGTTAATAAAATGGAATATGAAGGTGATAACAAAAGGAAACAACACTTTTCACAAACTTGTAGACGCAACACGAGAAAGTTGACAAACTTTATTGATCGAGAGTCTATAGCATCAAATGGGGCAACTGTGAGGATAAGAAGATTATTGAAACAGGAATAAGAATCGGCTATGAATTAAGGAACACCAAAAACTCTGCAGAAACATAGACAATAAAATATCCGAAATGGCGGAACAGATCGCACGGACGTTATACG